TATTTTTTTTATTTTATTTTTTTTATTATTTATTTTTTTTTTTTTTGCTTCAGTTTTAATAATTTGTAATGGGATTTTTTAATGTTATTTAAAATTTCTATTCAGATTAATTTTAATTTTAGTAATTGCAGTACTTCAAATACTTCTTTATTTCTGTTAAGTAAAAACATTTAAATTTTTTTTTTTTTAGTTTTTTATTTTAGTTTGAGTTTTTTTATTATTAACCAAAAGAATGAATTTTCTGTATTAATTTGCACTGGTGTTTAATCATATTTTGAATCATGCATTTCTTAATGTTTTTCTACACATTTTTCTCACAGTGTAAAATAGCACTACTTAATTAAGTAAAAAAAGAAAGACAGAATCTCTTTAAAACATGAACATCTGGCAAGCCTCTGTATAGTAGCATATGCTGGTGGTGTGTTTTGAAGTATAAATGAGCACATTGTGTGTGTGTTTGTGGTAAAGGCCCTGGAATGAATCTGTGTAATTCTGCTGGTTGAATTTCACGTAAAAGAGGAGCTCTACCCTTCAGCAGTGGGATGTATCTCAGTGTTTCACTGAGCGTGTGAATTCACGTTCAGTTGCTGTCAGGTGTTTGGATGTGAGAGCCGCTCTGTGTTATTAACACTCTCTGACTCACTGTCACACTTACATTTCTCTCTACGCTCATTCTATACTCCTCCTTTATCACTTTCCTGTTCTCAATCCTGCTGGAAAATCCAGCTAAAACCAGACTGGCTATAGCTGCACTGCGTAGCACTACATAATAACCGCTTTCTGGCTGACCAGGGTTTGTCATTAACTCCTTTAATGACCTTGTGTGAGATCCATCAATCAGAGAAGTTTCTGGGAATAAAGCGTCGTAGATGACATAATCAAATGAGACGCTATATCAAGTTTGTATTTCTGTATTTTCAACAAAACATTTGAGGTCATATTACAATGTCTATGGAAGAAGTCTTTATGCTCACCAAGGCTGCATTATTTGTTTAAAAATACAGTAAAAACTGTAAAATTGAGAAATATCATTGCAATTTAAAATATAATTTTTCTACCGTAATATATTTGAAAATGCAGCTGAATTTTTAGCATCATAACTCCAGTCTTCAGTGTCACATGATCCTTCAGAAATCACTCGAATATGCTGATTGGCTGCTCAAGAGGCATTTCTGATTTTTATTAATATTGAAATCAGTTGTGCTTCATATTTTTGTGAACAACATGATGCATTTTTTGTCAAGATTTTTGGAAAAATTGTCACTTTTGATCAATTTAATGCATCCTTGCTGAGCGAAAGACATAGAAAATCGTACTGACCCCCCTCTGATGCGTCTTATATTCACAGTCATAATTGATGACTAAAAAAAAAAATATCATATTGCTTTTTTTCTTTTCTTTACAAAATTAGGATATTGAGAAATTGTAAGCCAGCTAGGATCTATGATATTCCTCATAATGACCTTTAATCGAGATGATCTGCGAGTTTAACCTGGCCCAAACGCCTGAGATACTCAGTGACTGTAACCAGAGACCGGCTACTGTATACACTCTAAAAAATGCTGGGTTGTTTTAACCCATATTTGGGTAAAATATGGAGAAACTCAGCCATTGGGTTAAATTTTTTAAATTACATTTTTAACCCAACATCTGGGTTTGTCCATATTGTACCCAAATTTGGGTTAAAACCAAAATACAGCTATCATTTTAAGTTGGTTTTCTCTATATTTTCCAGCAATAAACAGGAGTGTTACATGAGACCAGACAGCACAGAAATACATGATGTGTTTGATTTAACTCGGACTCGGATGCTTTTTTCTTTCTATTCGACTGACTGTAGATCAGACATTAAAGAGCCCAGTCCTCAGAGAGACCAACACACACCCTTCGAGTCTACAAATCACACTGAACACAACACAAAACACAACAGTCAGGAGAGATGATGATGATGTTTCTCCGGCTCTCTCATACCGTTGTATTTCTGTGTGATTTCATCATGAGTGCTATATCCAATTTAACACCTGAAACAACTTCTATGTTCCTTCTGCGAAACAGAAGCTCTGACATTTAGTGTTTCACAGAAGAAATGCAAATGCATACAAAAAAAGGTTAATTTTCAAGTGAACTATTCCTTTCTCTGTTTGTTTTTCGAACCACCTGCTACTCCACAGTTTGACTGACAGTAAAGCTGAAGCGTGTTGATTTGTTCAATATTAGACACAGCCTGAAGCACATCAGACATATTCATGATCACGCTTCTGCATCACACGTCTACAGTACTGCACTCTTTGAGTTATTGTGTTGAAACCCGTCAATTACCTGAAGGAATATTAAAGAGATACTCCACCTCTGGAAAGATGAATGTGTATTTAAAATGTAGATTTATGTAGAAGAATTGTAAAATTATTTTTAAAATTTGGAGCTTTCTAGACTGAGAAAAGCCAGAAAATTTATTTTTAGCTTCTGTGGATGAAAGACAACAACTCCCAGAATGCACTTGCTTCGCTGCTCTAGGAGGCCACGCCCACCGGTAACAGAGCGCAGTAGTTAAACAACAAGTCTAGGCTATTAGTGAGTCTCCGTGATGAATCTGCCCGAAAATGTGTTTCAAGATCGCCCGGGATTCGGCTTTTGCGTTTTACAGTCGCCATTCATCATGTTTACTGTGGCGAGCGGGACGAGTGAGGGCCGCGGGAGAACGGCGCGAGGCCGGTGGCGTGATTACCGATGAGCGACACCTGTGAGACGCACCGGTCTCGTATCTCTCACGGAGGAGCGGGAGTTTTCTTAGCGATGTTAAAACACACATCAACCGATCACTTGTTTAGCGTTCATGTAAACACTACATTCAGATCCACCAATCGGAATGAATTCGGTTAGATTGAAACAAAAGCTGTGCATGTAAACAATGAATGGCGACTGCAGAAAGCAAAAGATGAATCCCGGACATGTCCGGGAAAAAGAGGATGGTAACCCCGACTACTCAGCTTTCTCCACAGAACAAGAGCCTGCTAGCTTAGCATCCAAATAAAGATGGCTGACACTATGGGGCCGTTTACACCTGGCCACTTCATGCGTTTTCTGTGATCGGATAGGTATCCGATCGTGAAAAGACCAGGTGTAAATGCCCCCCGAAACGCATTCGAGACGGATTTGAATCCGATCGCTCAAACCACATCAGAAAGTAGTCTGGGGCGCATTCGAGACGAAACTGGACTAGTGTAAATGCGTCTGGTTCTTGAAACCACATGTGTAAATGTTACTACTCCCAAAAATGCTAAAAAATAAACGCGTGAGAGCGTGTTACAGGCTACATGTCATGCTATTTTAGTCAGATATGACGACACTACTGCGACGCGCATCACCTCAGATGAGCAGCCGAACGCCTATCAAGCCAACGCGCCGCAATCTATCGCAAATCAAAGTGAAAGTAAGTCGCAGACGATTAACACTACCATCTTCATTAAAAGTAAAGAAACTAAATGATCTTACCAGGTTGCCGCTCTCTCTTATCACCATCTTTGCTGATTTTGAAATTAGCCGATGATCAATAAAATGCAGCTCATATCCGTTGCTTTCAGTGACGTGCACTTCATTAAATCCGCATATAGTGCGGGAATTGAAGATCGGATTTATGTCCGTTTTGCAAAAACACATTTATGTGACCAGGTGTAAATGGAATCGTTTTGATAAATCAGATAGCTATCCGATCTGAGAAAACGCATGAACTGGCCAGTAGGGTTGGGTATCGTTTGAATTTGAACGATTCTGATTCCGATTCCTTGTTTCGATTCCGGTTCCTAACGATTCTCGATTCCGATTCTTTTAAGAGGCGGGGTCAAAAAAGTTTAGCTAACCTTGCTAACCAACGGTCTTTCTGAAGGAAATAATCCTTTCTGAAGGAAATACTCCTTCTGTCACAAATACTCCTTTTGTCACAAATTTTGCATTTTGCCGAGATTTCGCTATTTTTAGAAAAGTGAAGCCACACTTTGGACCGCCGACGTAAGCTACTCATGTTCGACTCGCGCGGTTATGCCAACACTTCCGGTAGACGCTTCTTCGTTCGTGTTGTTCAGCGGTTTCTTCTTCCGCTCGGCGGACTGTGAATATCGAAACTAGGAAACGAAATTTTAACTTTTGAACGATTCCGGGAAAAACTAAAAGTTAGTCCCGATTCCAATCGATACTCGATTCGCGATACCCAAACCTAGTGGCCAGGTGTAAACAGCCCCTATGTGTTCATTCTGTGAGTGAGATCGCCCTCTATGGGCGGGTTGAGGACATGCGGGACAGACACTACTACTGACTGTAGTCTTTAGCCTCTGGACAAAATATCCTCAGATGGCGCAAAATGGCGATTTTTGCGTCATCGGAGGATTTTTTCAGACAAAAAATACATAAATCTCTCGTCTCAGGGGGATATGAGGGTGGAAAGCATGGTAATTCGAAAAATACTACAGGTTTTCTACTCATACAAAGCTTAATGCTAAATCCTGAAGTATCCCTTTAAGCACATGTACAGTAGTAGACTTGCACTACCATTCAAAAATGACATTTATAAACATATATATATGTATATATATATATATATTAAAATGTAATTTAATCATGTGATTCAAAGCATCATTACTCCAGTCTTCAGTGTCACATGATCCTTCACTCTACTGCTCAAGAAACATTATTATCAATGTTGAAAACACTTGTGCCGCTTGTGTTTGTGCATGAGTGTGTGCAAACACATGTGTGTGTAGAAACCCCAGATCATGACTGAATTTGCCCTCAGGCATAAACTGGTTACTTCCACAGTGTGCAGGATCAATATCAGCTGTCAGCACTTTCTGACATGGAATCAATTGCGATGTAGAATCAATGTGGAAAAATGAGTTGAAACAGCAAAATATCATTAAAACTGCGGTAATTAAAAGTGATTCCAGCTTGTGAAGTTCAGTTTCAACATGACGCTAGTCTCGGATCAGTGATTTTTGTGTCCGTCTCAGGTTTGAGCTCTCCTCCAGCTAACCTGGGCTCGTCTGGCGTCCCGAGCATCGTGACTCCCATAGTTAACGGATTCAGCGGGATCCCTCACCAACCCAACGGTCATCCAGTCGAGGCCATGTACACCAACGGCCTGCCGTCGTACTCCACCCAGAGCCCGAGCGCAGCCGACACGCTTCAGCAGGCCTTCACCGGCGTCCAGCAATACACAGGTGCGCACACTTTGGAGAGTATCTGCATGGTGAAACTCGATTTCAGTAATTCTACTTAAAGGGTTAGTTCACCCAAAAATGAAAATGAAGTCATTAATTACTCACCCCCATGCTGTACCAACCCCTTAAGACCTTCGTTCGTCTTCGGAGCACAAATGAAGATATTTTTGATTAAATTTGAGAGCTGTCTCACTACTACATAGACTGCCTAAGGGACTGGCTCTTGATGGCCCAGAAAGTCAATGAAGAAAATGTTTAAATATTCCATGTGACTACCGTGGCTCAACTATAAGTTTATCAAGCGACGCGAATACTTTTTGTGCGAAAAAACAAACAAAAATAACGACTTTATTCGACTATTTCTTTTCTTCCTTGTTGGCCTGAAACGAGACTTCAATACGATTTCCACGAAGCATGCGCGAGAATTGCGATCTCCTTTAACTACTTCAGTTCAGTTCTCGCGCATGCGTCGTTCATCAGATAATGAAATACGGTTTATTACTTTAAAATTTAAGTTATGTCTGTAAAACCATTAACGTTGCTACCGTATTTTTGATGGTAAAGTTCTGGAAGTTTTTTTACCGTAAAAATTACGGTTTTATTTTTACAGTAGTGTGAGATTACTGTTTTTTTTCTCACTCTAATTTCTTCTCCATTTAATCTCATAGTTGTCCAGGAGGAACCATAGATGTTTGAAATATCATGTTTGTATCTTTCCAAACCTGAGCACAGTTTTAGATATTTCCTCAGAAACATTTGCTCTCCTTTTAATCTGCTTTTCAGCAGAAAACTCAGATGTTATAGAGATCTGATTTGTGTGTTTTTTTATTCCATGCAGAATAGATAGACACAAATGTCACTTTCAAAGAAAAAATAACTTTGCTCATGGAGTGTTATTGCTGGTAGGTGACTTTGCTGTGATTGAAACCTCAGGTTGTATTCGAATTTCCTAGATATTACATCTATCATACGGATGCCTAGAGATCTGTCATTTTAAATCAGTTTGATATATGATGAACATGCTTTCAGATTTCATTGCACTGTGATCCTGTCATATTCCATTAGCATATAAAGGTTAACCTTCGTCTTGTCCTTATTCTTGCCTCATCTGTTCCTCTCTCTCTCTCTCTCTCTCGTATGATTATGCTGATGACTTCAGCCATATATCCTGCCACAACACTGACCCCTATAGGTCAGACACTGCCACAGCCTGCTCAGATCATCCAGCAACAGCAACAGCAGCAGCGGGAAGGTTAGTGACAGATATCACGGATATCCTTCATTCATACAATGAGCCAATGAAATTCAAATTCAGATCAGCATTTCCTGTGAAGATTTTACAATCTTCATTTTTAGTTACATCACCATCAGGTGTTTCCTGATTGGCTCGTCACATTTGAACTTTGTAAATGGCACACATCATAAAAGATGCAAAGGAAATCTCAATGGAGCATGTTATGATTTGTTTAATTGTGTAACACATTTTTTGTTGCCTGTGTAAAATGCATTTGTTGCCTATTTCACTGGTGCACTAAAGTTAATCGTAATTTTAACGGTAAAAGACAAGCGCAAAACTGTTAATTGGCTAACAGAAAGTTTCCGGACTATATACGGTAAATAACTGTGATAGATCTCATAGCACAATTAATGTAATTTTACTGTAAAAAACTGTTAAATTCACAGTTTTTGAAAATTAAAAAGGACGACTCATTGTAAAATTTACAGTGAAATGCCGTAAATTGACATTACCACAATTCCGTTTTTGTTGAAATAAATATTCCTTATAGTTTCCTCATAGTTTTCTTTATAAATATATATACTTTAGGGTTTTATGTAGAGCCAGACCGATATATCGGTCGGCCGATATTAGGCATTTTCCAAAATATCGGTATCGGCAGATATAATGGCCGATAAATGAATATTTAAAAAATAAAATAAAAACAGACGAAACACACTTCAATCATCTCTCCTTGGCCTGTTATATTGAAAATGTATGTTTTACAATTTGCAGTATGATGTTATCTATTGCTAAATTATGGCTCATCATAGACTAGCTAACCACAAAGCAAGCTACTGCCACTATCATCAGTGGAAGACCGCTAACGTTAACATTAATGAGCTTTTGAACTTTTTCTGCCTAAATAAAGTAATGATTACTGTATTTATAACTAGCATATCTCTAGTTACAGTCCCTGCATTGTAAAATGTAAGTTATACTTGCGAGGAGTGAACATTTACACATAGAGAAAAAGTATCAAACGTATCTTGTGCAGAAAAGTTAGCTTTTCTTTTACACGTGTGTGAAATCCAACAATATTTAATAAAAAAAAAAAATCAGCCGATATATCGGAATATCGGATTTTAAAACCCCAAAATATTTGTATCGGTATCAGCCTTTTAAATCCTTTATCGGTCGGGCTCTAGTTTTATGTTACATTTAATGTTGTTAAATCAATGTTTATTGCATTTTTTTTTTATTTCAACATGTTACCATGATGGTGTTTAATGTGTGTGTGAATGACACTGTGCAGCTTCTGTATATAAGTATTAACCTTCTTGTGGAAGACAGTTTGTGATGAGCTTTGATTGATCATGTGACTGTCATTACTTCTGTGATGATTGATGGATGTCAGTGTATTACAATGGTACAAAACAGATATCAATACTACAATGGGTTGTTAAATTAACATTATATCAGATAATGGAATACGGTTTATTACTGTAAATTTTAAGTTAAGTCTTTAAAACCAATAATGTTGCTACCGTGTTTTTGACGGTAACATTTTTTTTACAGTGTTATTTTTTACAGTAATAAATCTTACAGCTAAGTCATACATTTCATTTGTGTTTGAAATACGAGTTGATGTTTTCCATGGCATATTAAATATGTGTGTGTCTGTTTCAGGTCCCGAGGGCTGCAACTTGTTCATCTATCACCTGCCGCAGGAGTTTGGTGATAATGAGCTGATGCAGATGTTTCTTCCGTTCGGATCCGTCATCTCGTCAAAGGTGTTCATGGATCGAGCCACCAATCAGAGCAAATGTTTCGGTCAGTCACTGCTTCCTGCTTTCAAACACACTCTAGATCTATATATTGACCTCTCTCTACTCAGTTGATCAAATATCACGGTCCAACACTGGCACTTCTTTCAATTTTATATATGTATACAGTTGCTTATATTTTGGGTTTGTTGTCATGCACAGTTCTGTTTATTAAAACAATAAAAACACACATATGGCTTCCTGTATAAACACCTCATGTTAGACTATGTTTCAGTTAGCAATAGCATATTATCAGGCAATTGACAATTAATTAACCCCTTTTATTTACATGCCAAAGCCATTTTTGAATGCATTCAGTGTATGCCAAATGTTAATTTTTTTTGGACCCAGGGTGCCAGGGCCTGTGTGTGTGTGCGTGCAGTGAGTTTAATGGAGGTTTATTGGTCTCCTCACTCACACTAAAAAACTGTCTGGAATCACATATACTTATATTCATTCTCCGCACACACAGTCTCACACACAGGCAGCTCTCGGGAACACTATCCTTGCGCAGAAATCAAGCCGCTTCTCTCTCTCTCCCTCCCATTAGTTTAATTTAATTCAGTCTTCTCAGTCTATTTGTTTCCTTGAGGATTTTCCTGCCCATTTTTTTCCACATGAATTAAAAATGAGTAAATGTGGACGTGGCGTAGTACCGTTACACCGCAGGGACCGTAACATACACACACACACACACATAAACGGCACAGTCTCATCCAGACTGTGTTCTCTGCAGGCTTTGTGAGCTTTGATAACCCCGCCAGCGCTCAGGCTGCCATCCAATCCATGAACGGCTTCCAGATCGGCATGAAACGCTTGAAAGTGCAGCTGAAACGGCCGAAGGACGCCAGCCGTCCATACTGACCACAACCAGGGATGCACACGTGCACTCTCAGCCATTAGGAGAGGTAGGCCACAGCACACGCACCAAAAAGTCAATACTTTAATGATGCCAGAGCTGTCACTCATAACATGTTTGGCTTTCTTGACTCATTCTGTGTAGAGTGTATCATCCCTCTCTCGCAATAAATTAGTTAAAAATGCTGAAAATGACACCAGTCATACAAATTCAGTCTCTATTAAAAGTTGTACATTGGCTTTGCAAAAAAAGCATTAATAGTGTTTGTTTTTTATAGTAGTAAAAATTCTAAAAACTGTGGAAAGGTCGTTTTAAGTTGCTTTTGTTCATTTGCAAGGATTTTACAGTTTTATTTAGAAACTGATGATTTTGAATTTAAAGTTATTATTATTATTAATACTAATTATATCAGCCATTCTAATGGGCCACAATAAGACATAATTATCAGTTATTATTATAATAAGTTTTGAGTAACCTATAAAGGGTGTGTTCACACTCATAGTCTGGTTCGCTTGGTTTCTAATCTGTCATTTATTTTTGTTTTGATGATAAATAGAGCCAGCCTCCAAAAGTTATTAACCTGTCGTGTGATTTTTTTCTCTCTCACGTCCAGACACGAACTTATGCACATGTTGGTTGTCTTTTCATTATAATAATCTAGATATGGAATAAATAACATTCGATACAAAATTAACATGTTTCGTATATATATATTGAAATAAAGTTTTAAGTGATAAAATGTTGGCTTTGTTGTGCATTAGAACCACACCAGGCATTTAGTCATAATACAAAATAACAGTGTTGTAGTCGAGACCACCTCACTCGAGTCCAAGTTGACACCGAGACCAGAGAGAGAGTCGAGTCCGAGTCAAGACCGAGTCCATAGAGAGTCGAGTCCGAGTCGAGTCCGAGACCAGAGACGGTCGAGTCCGAGTCGAGTCCGAGACCAGAGACGGTCGAGTCCGAGTCGAGACCGAGACCATAGAGAGTCGAGTCCGAGTCGAGTCCGAGACCAGAGAGAGTCGAGTCCGAGTCGAGACCGAGACCATAGAGAGTCGAGTTCGAGTCGAGTCCGAGACCAGAGACGGTCGAGTCCGAGTCGAGACCGAGACCAGAGAGAGTCGAGTCCGAGACCAGAGAGAGTCGAGTCCGAGTCGAGTCCGAGACCAGAGAGAGTCGAGTCCGAGACCAGAGACGGTCGAGTCCGAGTCGAGACCGAGACCAGAGAGAGTCGAGTCCGAGTCGAGTCCGAGACCAGAGAGAGTCGAGTCCGAGACCAGAGACGGTCGAGTCCGAGTCGAGACCGAGACCAGAGAGAGTCGAGTCCGAGTCGAGTCCGAGACCAGAGACGGTCGACTCCGAGTCCATAGAGAGTCGAGTCCGAGTCGAGTCCGAGACCAGAGACGGTCGAGTCCGAGTCGAGTCCGAGACCAGAGACGGTCGAGTCCGAGTCCATAGAGAGTCGAGTCCGAGTCGAGTCCGAGACCAGAGACGGTCGAGTCCGAGTCGAGTCCGAGACCAGAGACGGTCGAGTCCGAGTCGAGTCCGAGACCAGAGACGGTCGAGTCCGAGTCGAGTCCGAGACCAGAGACGGTCGAGTCCGAGTCGAGACCGAGACCAGAGAGAGTCGAGTCCGAGTCCGAGACCAGAGAGAGTCGAGTCCGAGACCAGAGACGGTCGAGTCCGAGTCGAGTCCGAGACCAGAGACGGTCGAGTCCGAGTCGAGTCCGAGACCATAGAGAGTCGAGTCCGAGTCGAGACCGAGACCATAGAGAGTCGAGTCCGAGTCGAGTCCGAGACCATAGAGAGTCGAGTCCGAGTCGAGTCCGAGACCAGAGACGGTCGAGTCCGAGTCGAGACCGAGACCCGTGAGGGTTGATTACCTAATTTACTTTTATTTACTTAGAGAAATCCTTTTTTTTTTTTTTTTTACTGAATTTACTTAGAGTTTAAAAAATATGTTCAGTTTAGGGTAAAAAGGCCACATAGTAGGTGGTGTTAAAAGTAATTTTATTACAATTTGTAATGCACAGTTGCGCACTAGAAAATCACCAATCACTGGGTGTGTCAATCAATTTAAAGAAATATTTTATTAACATACATTAATAATCATGAAAAATATTTTTAATTGAACTCTTGTGGACTCGGGAATAATTCCGAGTCCTAAAAAAAAAATGTTTGAGTACGAGTCAATTCCGAGTCCAAATGGACACGAGTCCACGACAAGACCAAGACCATTAAAATATGAGTCGAGTCCGAGACCAGAGACGGTCGAGTCCGAGTCGAGTCCGAGACCAGAGACGGTCGAGTCCGAGTCGAGTCCGAGACCAGAGACGGTCGAGTCTGAGTCGAGACCGAGACCAGAGAGAGTCCGAGTCGAGTCCGAGACCAGAGAGAGTCGAGTCCGAGACCAGAGACGGTCGAGTCCGAGTCGAGTCCGAGACCAGAGACGGTCGAGTCTGAGTCGAGACCGAGACCAGAGAGAGTCCGAGTCGAGTCCGAGACCAGAGAGAGTCGAGTCCGAGACCAGAGACGGTCGAGTCCGAGTCGAGTCCGAGACCAGAGACGGTCGAGTCCGAGTCGAGACCGAGACCATAGAGAGTCGAGTCCGAGTCGAGTCCGAGACCAGAGACGGTCGAGTCCGAGTCGAGTCCGAGACCAGAGACGGTCGAGTCCGAGTCGAGACCGAGACCAGAGAGAGTCGAGTCCGAGTCGAGTCCGAGACCATAGAGAGTCGAGTCCGAGTCGAGACCGAGACCAGAGAGAGTCGAGTCCGAGACCAGAGAGAGTCGAGTCCGAGACCAGAGACGGTCGAGTCCGAGTCGAGTCCGAGACCAGAGACGGTCGAGTCCGAGTCGAGTCCGAGACCATAGAGAGTCGAGTCCGAGTCGAGACCGAGACCATAGAGAGTCGAGTCCGAGTCGAGTCCGAGACCAGAGACGGTCGAGTCCGAGTCGAGTCCGAGACCATAGAGAGTCGAGTCCGAGTCGAGACCGAGACCATAGAGAGTCGAGTCCGAGTCAAGACCGAGTCCAAAGAGAGTCGAGTCCGAGTCGAGTCCGAGACCAGAGACGGTCGAGTCCGAGTCGAGACCGAGACCAGTGAGGGTTGATTACCTAATTTACTTTTATTTACTTAGAGAAATCCTTTTTTTTTTTTTACTGAATTTACTTAGAGTTTAAAAAATATGTTCAGTTTAGGGTAAAAAGGCCACATAGTAGGTGGTGTTAAAAGTAATTTTATTACAATTTGTAATGCACAGTTGCGCACTAGAAAATCACCAATCACTGGGTGTGTCAATCAATTTAAAGAAATATTTTATTAACATACATTAATAATCATGAAAAATATTTTTAATTGAACTCTTGTGGACTCGGGAATAATTCCGAGTCCTAAAAAAAAAATGTTTGAGTACGAGTCAATTCCGAGTCCAAATGGACACGAGTCCATGACAAGACCAAGACCATTAAAATATGGTCTCGAGACCGAGTCCGAGACGAGTCCGAGTCTCGAGTACTACAACACTGCAAAATAATGTATTGAAGCATCCAGATCCTTCACCACGTGAGCAAGCAGCTAGGCTCCTGATTGGTTAACGCGGCGCGAATTAACGCCAAAGTTCAGATTTTTCAACTCGGGCGGCAGGCGCGAATTCGCATTAAATGTGTGAATGCACAAATAGCACTAACTAAATCATTCGCGCTTAACGCACCAGACGCTTAATTTGCGGCATTCACGCGAACTTGACACGCGCATGAGGGGTATTCAAGTCTATGCCTCATTCGCGCCGCAGGAATTTTTTACGCGTGTAAGGCGTCTTTGCATTGACTAACGGTAGAGATCCACTTGTCCGACACGACAGTCGCGTGTTGTCGCGACGCCTCCCCACATTTGTACTTTGATGGGCGTTCCTCAAGTTTACCGCTATGAGCGTGGTTTTGAGCCAGCGGCCAGTCTAGAACAGAGGACCTGCGAGAGACTTCCCCCCCGTCTCCATATGCTCTACTTCTATTGGATAGTCGTGGCGCGTTTAACGGAATTCATTTGCATAAAGTTGGGCATCGGCCAGTTTTTTGACGCGCAGCATTTTTCCAAATGAAGCGCCGCCTTCCCGGGATGCTTTGCGGGCACGTTAAAGTCGCGTGACGTCACCCATAGGAATAAAGCGGAGCGCGGCGCGACAGAAGTGCCGCACGGACAAGTGGATCCGCAACGTTAAGGCCAATTTATACTTCTGCGTAGGGTGCGCGCAGTAGGTACGGCGTAGCATACGCACAGACGCGTCCCATACCGCGTACCCTTCCGCGTTGCCTGACGCGCACCTCTTCAAAAATGTAACTACACGTCGCGATGACGCGGACCGCAAGATCGGTCGCTTAGTAGCATCGTATTTCCTCATACGCATTTCCGCACGTACCTTCTCACGCATTTCCACACGTACCATCATCTCCTCCGACGTCTTCTCTCATTTCTGCCTTTCAGTTTTAGTAATTTCACTTTTAGTTTTTCCACTTCAATAAGCTCCAACTCCAACATGATCCACTCTCGTTCAGTCGCTATTGCTTGTAGTAACCTAGCCGCGAGGAATCTAAACACAGTGGAACATTAAAACCCTCTGCCGCCAACTAGCATTTCGGAGCAGTACTGCAGAGCAACCAAGACCTGAACGCAGAAGTATAGATGCTCACAACGGCGTCGCCTACGTGCGAAGCCAACGCCGTACACTACGGCGTACCCTCGACGCAGAAGTATAAATTGGCCTTTAACATTGAAATCACTCGCGCGGCGCCTGACGCGCTATTTGCGTCCAGTGTGAACGCACCATAAAAGAGTCTACACAGTGTCAGGAATCCCTCCGTCACACACGTCTTTGCTTTGTGTTGCGTTCATATTTCTTTCGAACCGCACCAGGGTTCGATTTGAAGCGGATCCAGACTCATCTTTTCAGCTTATTTGGTGATGCCAGAGTTCACATTTATTCAAATGAACCGCACTAACAGAGCAATCTCACCAGGGTTCGTTTTAAAGGAGTAGTTCACTTTTCAAAAAAACTTTTGCTGATAATTTACTCCAAGATGTCCATGTCTTTCTTTCTTCAGTCGAAAAGAAATTAAGGTTTTTGATGAAAACGTTCCAGGATTTTTCTCTATATAATGGACTTCAGTGGGAACCAAACGGTTCAAGTTCGAAAAGAAACTTTCAGTACAAACTGCAAACTTGTTCAAAGGGCTTTAAACGATGCCAGACGATAAATAAGGGTCTTATCAAGCGAAACGATCGCTCATTTTTTTTTTTTAAATAACAAAGTTTAAGTTATATAAGATCAAACGCTCGCCTTGCTCGTTCTGTAACGGACTCCTGTTCGAACTCGTTCAACAAAATGAACAAATATTTTTCTGAATCAATTCGTTCGTTTCTTTCGCCGAATGAACAAAATGACTCGGAAAAAGATTTGTTCATTTTGATGAACGAGTTCGAACAGGAGTGCCTTACAAAACAGAGCAAGGCGAGCGTTTGAGCTTATAAAACTTAAACTTTGTTATTTATTTATAAAATGAGCGATCGTTTCGCTTGATAAGACCCTTATTCATCTAGAATCGTTTAAAGCCCTTTGAACAAGTTTGCAGTTTGTACTTAAAGTTTCTTTTCGAACTTGACCCATTATATGGAGAAAAATCCTGGAATTTTTTCATCAAAAACCTTAATTTCTTTTCGACTGAAGAAAGAAAGACATGGATATCTTGGATGACATGGGGGTGAGTAAATTATCAGCAAAAGTTTTTTTCAAAAGTGAACAACTCCTTTAATCCAACCAAACATGCCAAGTGTGAACACATCCTAAAAGAGTGTGCTGAATGAAGTGATCTCTCCTTTAAAGCCGCAAACGTCTCCGATAAACTTTTAAATGTTTTGTGGATGATGCAATCTATCAGCACACCTGCATCATGTCATCTCTCTGAATCCTTCTATCATGCTGAATGTGATGTCAAGAGCGCAGGCCTGAGTTTTAGCTTCACACGGCTCTCGCTGTGACTGATGGCTCCTGGTTCCCCATCCAGGTATCAAGCTGTTAAGCCTGTCTCCCGAGTCAAACTCATCTGACATCTCTCTCTCTTTCTCTCTGCCAGGTTTTGAACAGTTGTAGTCTTGACGTTTTGACGGATGGAAACTTTTCTTGAAAAACTAACACACGAAAAAAAAAAAAAACGACACTAAAAACACACGAAGAAGCAAGCAAAGGGAGTTTTGAGAAGCATATCGCATTTAACGAAAGCGTGTGTTTCCACAGCGATGAAAGACTGGCGTGCCGGGGGCGAAGACGAGGACGAAAACAAATAAACTGGAAAATGCTATATACCGAACACTTTGAAAGAACAGTGCATGGCTGGGACTGGAACTAAAGCAAAAGACGGATCCACGCACATATCAAGAGACAGTCGTAGCTTTTATTTGCGAGGAATAATGAGGGTTTAACGGTAAAAATGTGTATATGACACTGACGCAGAATAACACACTCTCTCTCTCTCTCTCTCTCTCTCTCTCTCTCCCAGAGGACCAAATCTTTTTAATCTCTGTCGGTACCGTAACCATGTACAATATTACCACCGATCGATTATCTTACGCTACATACATGCTACTTCATATAATATGCCAATTAAGAGTTAGACACAAATAATTCAGGGTGTATAGTGTAGGTATACGGGGACTTGAGGTGTGTTTTATTGAAAACCGGTGCAAGAGCATCTAAAGGACATTGATAGATGATGTTTAGTGGGGTATTTTAGGCTATTGTTATAGACTATGAAGTGTGTTGATATTGAATTGGGCTGTTCCATCTCCACGTCTCGTTTCAGAAAGCTGCGGCTGGAGAAAAGGGCATTCGATCCTTCGCGATATCATTTAACTCATGCACATACTGTACACAAATGACCACAGCGAACATATACAGTTGCCAGATATTTTTGCCAAACAACAGCTCTTGTTTCTGAGCTACACAGTTTCACAAGGAAATATCGCTCTAGTGATATTTTCCCACACACCACCAAAACTCCCAGTGGCTGTTTTTAACACTGGATCTGAGGATTTCAGAAAGTCTCAATGATCTTTGGATTGTTATTGACTGGATCATGTTAGCTTTTATAATTATTTTTTATTTGTCAGCTTAACGAGTGCCCTGCAAGGCTTCCGTTAAAATGACTCTGTTTAATTCATTGTACTTTTTTTTGTCAGCATGCCAAGTATTTTCACTTAACTCTCATTATTTATTTTAATTTACTTTATTTGATTTATCAGCTTACCAAGTGCACAGCATGGCTTACATTGAGATTAATCTAATTGTATTATTTTTAGTTTATCAGCAAACCAAGTGCACAGAAAGACTTACATTAGCATTAGTCTTATTTATTTTAAAATGTGTTTGTTTTTAGCTTACTAAGTGCAGAGCGAGGCTTACATTAGCATTACTCTGAATTTTATTTATTTATTTATTTATTTATTTCTAGCAGGACTTACTTACATTAATATTTACGGAAGAGGATTAGGGCCAAGCAATAATAAAAAAACCATCTCGAGATTAAAGTCATTATAATGCGAGATTAAACTCATTAAATTTCGAGAAAAAAGTCGAAATACAATTTTGAGAATAAACTAATTAAATATCGAGAATAAAGTCGTATTTTGGGAAAAAAACGTGTTAAATTTCGAGAATAAAAGTCGAAATACAATCTTGAGAATAAGCTTATTAAATTTCGAGAATAAAGTCATCGTACTTCGGGGAAAAACTTGTTAAATTTCGAGAAAAAAGTCTAAATACAATCTTGAGAATAAACTCATTAAATATCGAGAATAAAGTCGTTGTATTTTGGGAAAAAAACTTGTTAAATTTCGAGAAAAAAGTTGAAATACAATCTTGAGAATAAACTCATTAAATTTCTAGAAAAAAATCGTTGTGTTTGAGAAAAAAACTTGTTAAAATTCGAGAAAAAAATTTGAAAAACAACCTTGAGAATAAACTTATTAAACATCGACAATAAAGTCGTGTTTCGAGAAAAAACTTGTTAAATTTCGAGAGAAAAAAGTCGAAATACAATCTTGAGAATAAACTCATTAAATATCGAGAATAAAGTCGTTGTGTTTAAGAAAGAAAAGTCAAAATGACTCGAAACTCAACGACTTTATTCTAGATATTGAAGAGTTTATTCTCAAGATTGTATTACGACTTTTTTTTCTCGAAATTCAGCTAGTTTTTTCTCAAAACACAACGACTTTATTCTCGATATTTAATGAGTTTAATCTCGCATTATAATGACTTCAATCTCAAGATGGTTTTATTTTTTTATTATTGCTTGGCCCTAATCCTCTTCCGTAAATATTACTGTCAATATTACTGTTTATTTGACTATTTCAAACTATTGAACTGAATTGTTGCTTCTGTCCTAAACATGTGAAAACATCTGAAGATACCCGAGGCTTTCCTGAATCCTCCAAAACGAGATAAAACGGCCACAGAAAGATGTTTCGGCAGTGTGCGCTGCAGTGATGTTTCCACTGTGAAAACGGGCTGTTTTGAGATAGAATTCAGGAAAATCTTTCATTTAGAAACAGCCTAAAATTGTGCCATAGTTAAGCTTTGAATTTGTCTCAGTGGCTTACACTGATATGCTGTTTGCCAGAAGGGCCTTCTAGAACATTTATATTAGACAAATCAAACCATTATACAGCGTAAAAACACAGCACAAAGAGATATCACGTCTCGGAAAACCACGAGAGACGCTTTTAAAGACAGTATTTCTCTTTTATTCATGCTTTATTCAGGTATTTCATGCGTTATTACACTTAAATGAACTTCGTAATTGCTCATAGTTACACTGTATTGTGCATGCTTATGTAAACGTAGTACTAATGTAGAGCCAGGCCACAGTTAAGGTCTAAAACGGCCGAGAAAAATGAGAGAAGTGATGTAAAGGAACAAAAAAATGTATGAAAAACAGTGTTTAGAGGTTAAAACAAACCAGCGAGGCCACATCACCACCTTTCAAGTCAACATGAAATCCAAATGGACCCTGTTTACTTTCTTCATACAAGTTTCTAGTGTTCTTTTGAATGATTCACCAGCGCACACAATTGCAAAAATCCTAAAGGATCAAATTAAATGGCGAATCCCACATTTCATGTTCTCTAGGAAGTGTGATTAAACCTAAAAAAGGTTGCAAACGCCCTGTCATGTTGACTTTCACTTCATGCTTGGTTGTTTTGACCCACGGAAACTGTTAAAACTTTTTGGACCAAACCCATTATATCAAATTTCTTTCTGTCTTCACACACGATCAGTCAACCGCACCACACAAGCGCCATTTCCTCCAATCAAAACGAGTCATTTGCAAGGGAATTTGCTCTCTGTGAAGTTGCACCATTAATATTTTGTCAGGAAAAGACTAGGAGTTACAGCTAAAATGACTGGACAGCACATTTCACTCTGGAACCTGGACAAAGTAGATTTTAAGTGATTTACAGGTCAAACATAGTACATGATTTAATATTAAGGCAGAAATGAGTTAAGTTTTGGATGATGTGACTGATGTCAACGCAAAACATGAAACTGTTATGACAGGTTTCCCTTCAGGAATGGATGAATCTCAGCAAAGCATGTTTAACATCATTTTATATATATAATTGAAATGTTTGACATTATTTTCATGACAATTTAGCTGATTTTCCTGTAAGGAAAAAAAAAACATCTATAATTATTGAGATTTATAATTAATACCATTCTCAGTTAGATTCTTATTACTGTAACAATATCCAAAATAAAAAGTTAAAATAGCTGTAATATAATGCTGTTTAGTTTAAATTCGAATAAATCAGCAACAAATATTATAATGATGTATAAATATTGGATTTCATTTCTTTTTTTAAATGAATTAAAATTTCACAATGTTAATGTTTTATTATGGTAATGAGAATCTGGGAGGGAAATGTCCTTTATTTGCCTTTAAAATTGTCAAAAAAAGGGGCACAAAAAATCTTAATATAGTCTTAAAGGAGTAGTCAACTTTTAAAAAACTTTTGCTGATAATTTACTCACCCCCATATCATCCAAGATGTCCATGTCTTTCTTTCTTCAGTCAAAAAGAAATTAAGGTTTTTGATGAAAACATTCCAGGATTTTCTCCATATAATGGACTTCAATGGGGTCCAAACGGTTCAAGGCCCAAATGAGAGTTTCAGTGCAGCTTCAAAGGGCTTTAAACGACACCAGATGATGAATAAGGGTCTTATCAAGCGTCACGATCGCTATACCTTAAAAAGTTTAAGTTTTATAAGCTCAAATGCTCGCCTTGCTCTGTTCTGTGATGTGACTCTCCTGTTCAAACTCGTTCATCAAAATGAACGAATCTGGTCCTTTCATTAATTTCGTTCGTTGAATGAACCAAATGACTCGAAAAAAGATTCGTTAATTTTCGTTCATTTCAGATTCGTGCAAAAACCTTGATTTCTTTTCGACTGAAGAAAGACGTGGACATCTTGGATGACATGGGGGTGAGTAAATTATCAGCAAAAGTTTTATTTAAAGTGAACTACTCCTTTAAAAAAAAATGAATCCATAATGCAGAATAGATCATAAAAACGTATACGTTTTAAAAGGCCTCAAACACACAAATAAACAGATAATAGTTGCACAAACATGACTGTGGCTCAAGCGGGACGCCTGCCATCTGTCTGTCAGAACTGAAATTAGTAATCAGGGACAGAGCAGGTTTTCAATTAAACACCAATCAGATGATCACAGTGGAAGGTGACTATATAATCAGCATTCAAGGGCACTTCTGTTCACTTCTACACCTTCCATTCATTCAGTTTTAAACACTGTGAAATTGAACTGTTAAAGTGATATCATCATTCTGAGACTGGACCCATTGAATCATGGAAATGTTTGGAAGAGTGCATAACACACTCTTTTTGCAGTATGTATATGTGCTGTTCATTTCTCTATCTGCTACATTTGTCGAATACACAGTATGCAACAAGGTAATACCCTAGCAACCGCACAGCAGCCCATTAAATTCACACAGAACACCCTAGCAACCACCTTGCATTGGTATCACTGACATTTTCACAGATTGACACAGTAGGTAGTATGCAGTGTGCATTAAGCAGTATACCGTACTAGTATTCTGTTCTGAGCACTGCAAAAATGATTTCTCTCTCAGTAT